AGACGGTCGAGTTGTCTCCCACTACCCCCGCCCTACAAAACGCTCCGAGCATTTCACACCCTGTCACCAAGGAAGGTAGAACTTTATCCTCTGAAATTCCTGCTTTTCATCATATCTTTCTCTTACTGTGCATGCATTTGCGCAAGAGAAACCAAAGGCAAATTATAACATACGAAGTCTAGGCCATACAACCCCAGGGACTACAAATAGCCCTTTTAAGAATAACCATTTCAGAGAGTAATCCTCTTCAAGACAAAACAATTCCAACCCATACACCCACAACGCTACAAATTGACTTGTAAATTTCTTTACGCTTTGGCAAGGAGAGAAAAAAGAGAAAGGCCATGGTATCACATCTTTGGCCTTACCCTCCGTGTCTCCACCCCTCTGTTGATGACATTTAGAGCAAAATGAAGTAGACAAGTAGGGAATGAGAATGTGATGGAGTCTTTTCAGCCATTGAATTGCTTGCCTCTAGAAAACAAACGATTCATAAGTAACCGGAGAGCTTCTTAAAATGTTTCATTCTTCAGCAGTTATTGTTACAATCTACCATCCATTCTCAGTTACGCCTAAATTTGTGGACTCTACATTTAATAGCCCTCGTAAATAACCGTTAAAAACAACCGTGCCACCTCATAAAACATCCACTTTATTAAATAATTCACTTAAGTCGAACAGTCACTCTGAATCATCGACTGTCAACAAACACTTTTACACATAGCAACGTTACGCTACACACCCTATTCGAATGACCAAATTATAAGCGGAATAGAGAGTGATGTGGCTATCACAGCATGGTCTCATTGAAAGCTCTATTCCTCCTGGAAACATAAAAAGACGCCACGATCGTCCAGAGTGCCTAGAATACTACGACAGACCAAATTGGTTTGGAGAAGGATAATGGTACTTCGCCCACAGCCGACGACATTCCTAACCGCCCCCTTTCCCCCTACCAATCCCCAACATTCAGTCCTCCCTATTAAAGCTTCGATAGGAGGGCACCTTTAATGCTTGAATATAAACGCACCTTCTACTTTTGGAGTGTTGAACAAGATATTGAAAAAGAGCGACGCTAGTTAATTCAAGTAGACTCGTGACGTTTCGCCACATTTGTCTATCGAATTCCGTATTCATTGACATTAATTTGTAATAACAAGAGTTGCCTGCACTTGACACGTGTGCGAAATAACTTGGAACGACAACAGGAGGAACTAAGCAACAAATTTCCTTCCTTCACAAGTATATACGATTTGTTTGAATCGAGTGAACAAAAGTGAAGCGTCGTACTGTGGTTTTTACACCCTCATTAAACCAGTATTGAAATTCGCAAGTCAAATGAGTGAAGACGGATGAATTATTAACACAGCCTGCAGAATAAAAAACGACATTCATCAAATCCCGAGGGGGGAGACTGTTGGTAAAAACAACTGTTGGTGTAAAAAAGTTCCACAAACAGTTTTAAATTTCGGCTGCTTTTTTCCAAAAATTACTCAAGTGCAAGTGATCAATCTGTGTTGCGCAAATCCAAACATCAAAATTTTTCCCGTTTAGGCAGCACAATCAACCTGGAATAAGTTCAAAATAATATCTACTGATGTGTTTAAGTAAGACTTACGTCATTCTCAGCACCACTAAGAAGCATCCATAGGTGCCCCCGAAGGTTTTGAGGCAAGCCTTTAAGCACGAGCTCTTCCAGCTCGTCGACGACGTACATGGATCTACCTTTACCATAGATGGAAAAATACCGTTCCCAAGCAGCATTACGACTTTGTTCCATCTGGCTCGTTGAGGTGTCGTCGAGGGGGAAGTAGTCGATGAAACGTGCTGAATGGTGGTCGGCTAAACGAATGGATCAAGTGGTTACAAAATGGATGGTATGAACGTTTCTCGCTCGTAAATATTAATCGGCGAAAAAGGCCCTTAGATTGTTGGCTTTCGTCAGAGGTACGCAAGAACTTAGGTAACTTATTTACGCCTGAATTATTCATCTCTCCAACCTTAGTGATGCTAGGCCAAAACTAAAATTGAAATTGCGAGTTCAGCTAATTAACTAGATATACAAATGCAAAAGAAAACAATGAACAGTACCATCAACTTACTTGTAGATACTTCTGTTTTTATATCTGAGGACTCATTTCCAGTAACGCTGTTTTGCTGGTTTTCTGCGTCTGAATGGTAAAAAGTAAACAATGAACTGTAGCGGGTGGAATCACAAGGACGACCAAATATAAATTTACGCACTTGCGCCATTGGGTTGACTCAAAGCTTTCAATGGCGCTGCTATTCGAGAAGCACTGGAGTGAGGTGGGTTCGATTCATTTAGGCTCCACAGAGCTTCTTCAGCCATGATGACTTCCTCAGGACCACTGCTCAAGGTAGCATAATTGATAATTTATCATGAATGCTTAGGCGAAGCAATTCTTTATCCGTTAGTGAACGATGCTATTACCTATCAAAAACGGTTGATGAATCACAAACGACGTATTTGAGTCGATCGATGAAGCCCTCCTCATCATACACTTTGACGAAAACAAATACCGTCTGAAAACCACAAAATAACCGGTTTTTTCGCTGAAGGTGAAATGGCGATAAAATTGTCGGGAAAAAACCATCGTAAACGAAGCAGCTCACATCTTTATTTGAGATGATGATATCGGAGTACTCAGGATTCACTTGAGAAATGTGCACATCCACCGAAATCACCTCACTCAATGGGACAACGAGCAATAGATAGGTATTGCCCTGGACAACAATAAGATATAATCTTTATCAAATGACCCAATATCAATCACAAATGTCTACAAACAATCACTTGCACTATCACTAACACTGTTCCGAAAACAGAGGAAGTTTTCTGAAAGGTAAATCCGACCGGCTATTTCAGCCTTGTTGAAGGGAGTGCAGAGGAGGCATGAGGCTTCACAATAAAGAATCTCGGATGTGGGCAGGTGAAATTGCTTCCGATAGGCCTCGCTTCGTGAGTAGGTGTCCAACCGTGAGAGGAGATGGTGTGATGATAGGATGGAGCCACTACTAGAAGAGACATCCCTACCTGATCAAAGTCAGCTACTGAAGGGTCATGTTTTGTAACAAGCGATTATTTGGTAGTGGAATGGGTATTTAAGCGTGAACATACACTTAAATATAATTGCCAACGTATTTTTCGAGGCAAAATAGCGAAACCTATCCATGTTGAGGGCAAGTTTCACGAGAAAAGGTTTCACAAGGAAATGGAAATACGACACTGATGATAATAAGTTGAACTGTCAGTAGCACAAACCTTGTCAAAGCATAACTAGCATAAAAACCAAAGTTCAAATTTACGCAGTCAATCGGGGCGGAAGTGAGATGAAAGTGTAAACCAAATGGTAAACAGGTTAGGGCGGAAGGATGGATTGATTAGAAAAGCGTACGAGTTGTTTCATAGCAAGTAAATCCTTCAAAACTGTTCACCGAGATCAAAAAGTTGACGGACACATTCTCATTTTTACCCAAGGATAACTAATTTCTTTTGGCTTGTGAAAGCGGCTTTTATGATGAGACAATTTGGCCGCTGTAAAGGAATGCAAGGTGCATGGGCCAAAGCATGACAGAAAGCCAAAAGCAAGGCAAATTAAACAACTTAGCAAACGATTGTCGTACAAAAATTTTGCAAAAAGAAACGGAAATGTACATTCAATAGTAATAGTAACCTTGAAAACCGAATAGGATCACGTTCCAAAGCCGTATAAGCGTCGTTATCCAACAGCCTATAGAGCAAAAATTTTATACAACTTCATAAAGATTGTGTAAAATTTTGAGAACGTTTTAGGTACATTCTACCCACCGACGCGCACCGAGATCTGCCAGTCTTTGAATAATGCAAAATGTTTCATCAACACGCGAAGCCACGATGAACCGATACTAAAAATAGGACACAGGCGAGTATTTCAGGAATACTTGCGCTCCAGGATCAAGTAAATTAGGTCCGAAAACAATAGAACACACTACTACACAATTTCAAGCAATAAACAGGAATGTGCGCAAGGAAGATGGATCAGAGCAAAAGCACTACCCTTTGAGAGCGCGTGCTGAGAAGAATATATCCACCCAAAGCGAAGATCATCTTTTTCTTAACATCCTATAAACGGTCTACAGGAGGAACCCAAAAACTTACGACAACTTTAATCCAAGGAACAGAAAATTGAGTTTCAATGTTGGATACAGATGGAAGGAAAGAGATATAATTGATACTAAGAAAGAGGGTGCCACGAGCAGGAAGCTTGCCAGCCAAATAAGAGCTGAAACAATCTAAAGCGGGAGTTAAACGTCAATATTTCCACATACGGAATACTAATCTTTCTGCTGGAGGAAAATTAAATGGCGTTAAAAAATCAGTAACTTCGAGACCTTGGAGCTCTGTGGGAAAGCAGTTCGCATAACTTCTAATGACTACTTACGAGGCACAAGTTGCGACTGCGCCTTCTTCTTAAATATGTTAAACAAGAAGTTCGATACTTCAGTTTGGGACAGTTGCGACATTGCCGGAACAATCTCAGATTCGATTTCTTGCATTAAAGCAGTGATTTCATCAAAATCATCGGATATCGCGATTTCTTTCGACCGATTCATAATATTATGGGCAGTAACTTACGGAATCTTTTGCAGTTTTTCAGAGCATAGGTTAATCGAAAGCCTCCGCACTACGTAAATTTCTTTTTGAAAGATAGGAATAACCTACCACATCAAAGTCGAAATCACCATTATCGCTACGGTCACCAACACCTTCCCTGCATTGACTGATGCGCTGGCTAACTTGAAATATGTCGCAAGATAAAACAATTCTAGAACACCATAAAAAGATGATGAAGCGATACATTTCGCCCTTAGATAAGTACACCTCTTCAGGGCTTTGCCACATTTCGCCGAAATTGGTTCACAAGCCAGAATTCACAAGGTTCTACAAATTGAATAAGTAAAAAGGCTTTCAGAGTCGCGCCTCTCATTATTGCAAGGGCTGTTCAAACAAGCTGCGAGATAAGTTCAGAACGCATATTCAAGAGAAAACAAAGGGGTTATTATCAATTGTGCCTCTTTTACAAAGGAACAAGTTATGAAAAATAAAGGACACTGTTAATTCATCCCATATAACCAAAAAATGTGCAGTCAAAGCTCCCACCCATGCTTACTGTAACGGAAGAGCAACCACCAGCGCACAAACTCGACTTCAACGGAAGCGCTACACTGTCTTTAACCTTTTTTATCTCTTTAGCTAAACTGCCTTTTCCAAAAAACACACACTAACAAACTAGGCCATTTGTAAAACGCAAAATACTGAGCAAAAGCCGAGTTTATAAGTCTGCTAATTTTATAGTGGAGGAAAGAAGTAGTCAAATGTCTACAATCCAGCTCGAAGATTTTGTTAAAATGTGTGTCCGTCAAAGATGTCTACAATAGCTTTTGGCACACGTATTCAACGCCTACCAAGCTTTAATATGCTGCAGGTAATCCTCACTGGAAACTCAGGGTTGAGATGCAATTCGATGGTATTGCCCCTAGGCTTCCCATTTGGAAATAGAAAGCATGCCAGTTGGCTGTATACTTGCATTCAGACAGAAATGGTAGAACTTGGCGTAGCGTTCCAAGACTTCCCACCAGATGCAAGAAGGTATTAAGTGGAGCTGAAGGCTTGTATTCTAGGGGAGGAAACGGCTCAAGTCTGGGCTTGACCTAAAGGTCATTCCAAGTGTGCAAGGGGCAGACGAATACTAGAGCAACCACCAGATACTGGACAGTCACAAATGTAAACTAGTGTACTCAGACCTTGGCAGATATAATTTGGTTGCCAAACGAACGGCGTGACCCTCTGTGGACCTCTCCGCCATCCACAAGTCAGCCGCCTTAGTCATCAATGTAATACTTTTTTCATGTGACTATCTGACACTTGGCGGCCACCATGGAATTTGTCTGACCCCTGTACACGTGGACCGACCTTCGGGTCATGCCCGGGTCCATTTGTCCTGTCGTCTTCAGAATACATGAATCCAGCTGCACTTAATGACTTCTCATACCGGCTAGGAGGTCTCGGACGCTACAATCAACGCCCATACATGTAAGTGGAGATACATGACTTCAGCATCACCGAATTCCCATGGGTACTTGTTGTTAGACATTAAGGCATTTAGTCTAAAACAGAGGTAATAGGTGTCCAAGTTCGTTGAACGACCACCTGCATGAATAGAGGTCACTTTAATACTTATATCGTCCTTGTGTGCTCCTCTTCTTGGGATCCATGCCTTTAGCTCTACTCATTGCCTTTTTGTACCTAATTGGAAGTCTCGAGGCGATGCAGCGAAGATTACGAGATTTAACCTGGTTAAATGTGGGAGGAGTTTTGAAGAACTAAGTTTGCGATATTAAAACTCAAAAACGAAGCCTTTGCAAGAGGTTTGCGGAAGGTTTTCCTTCATTTGCTAACAGTCTGTCTACAGAATACGAGAATGGGATTTGCACCGATAGCAAAGCCATTTCCGTCCTACTATCATTAAGAACTGGGAAATTCTCTCTGAGGTATGTGCATTTCATTCGCACTACAAAGTTTGCCGCAGACCTGGATAAAATCTATTCGTATTTGATGGCATAATACGCAGTCAAATGGCAAAAAAGATAGGATTTTTTTGCCTCCGAAGTCTCCGGTGGGTCATCTTACCAGAGAGGCAGATGGGAGCTAAGGGGATCGTCTTTTACGCAAGCGGTGGAACGAACCCAGTATAACCCAGGCATTACTAAAATTCGCAATTTATTGCCCATACACACAGAGGTGCAAAACCCAGGGGATCACGATCGTCTTCCACGTCCATGACAAAAAGGTGTTTGCAGCAATCCATATTTGTCGCTTTGAATGAAGCCCTAGAATGACATGTCGAGATATGGTACGGCGTTCTCAATTCAAATCGTTTCAAGCCAACTGTCTATCCACAACTTTTAGCAATCATTCTAGCGACTTAGTGGAGTGTTCCCATAAATGGGATGGCATTTTTACCCAAATTTGTGTAATTATCCACTGTGTTAGGACTCCAGTCCAAGACCATTCTTTGTTGTTTCAAATAGCTAAGAGCATGGATAGAAACAAAGGGAAGGTAAATACACGGGTATCGTTACCTCAGCTGATCGCCTACATGCACATCGAGAACTCCACCCGATTTGACATCGCCTACTAAGGACAATTTAATCGCGTACTATGCAGCATCCCCATATTTGAAGTGCTGCTATTTCATTCTCACCTAAAAATGCAAAGCATATGGGAAGGAGCATCGAAGCAAATAAGAGGGACGTGTGTAATACTCTGCTTGCGCTATCACCTGATGTCTGGATATCATTTTGGTATTCGAATTGACCTTGTACGTGTGAAACAGCCTTTGAGTTAAACTAAGGTCTGATCCACTCAATTCCTTCTAAAGTACATGCGTTCAGTTAGACGCAATAACCTCTTTTACCTAATGAGCGCTGAAGCATGCTCATACAGGAACCCGGTAGCGTACCGAGACTTCTTAGAGTAGAAGAAGGCAGTAAGTGACTGGATTCATGAATTCCGAAGAGGACAGAGCAAGTTCGCCTGAGCATGGCCCACAAGTACAATGGCCAGACAAATCCTAAAGTGACCGTCAAAGGTCAGATATTCACACAAAGGACTACACTGCCCCTTTCTTCTTTTGAGCGGCGTCCTCGGTGCTCCCCGTTGGTACACCTCCCGCGCCAGCCATCACAGCATATTCGGTATCACATGAAAGTCTCCACGAGCCAACCTTGCCAGTCGACAGGCAGCATGAGACTGAGGAACCATACTTGGATCTGGAGTTACGTTCGGTCTGCTTCCAGGAACAGACGGTGGAACCCTCGTCTGAAACGTATGTTACAGGGGAAACGAGATAGACCACTGTCCCGTATATGAGGAGAGCCGCAGTGTCATTTCAGACACCTAAACACAGATTTTGTATGGGAAATGCCGACACAAAACTTCTCCAGATGGCCCACAGCGGTATCGCTTCAGTTGTTAATACCTTGTTTGTGGAACACGAGAATAAGGTGAAACCAAATGCAGACGTCAGTCTATATCCTTTCGTTGTGAAGAAATCAGAGATTCTCCTGCCACCGAGGCGAACACCCCTGCCGCACACCGTAGGTACATACAACAAACGGTACGTGCTAGAATAGAGGCCGTTAAAAAATTTCGAGTTCGCCTTCCGCCGCTACCAGTGTAGTGTCCCGAGACTTCCCATAGGGTGGAAGAAGGCAGTAAGCGTGATCGGATTTGTGTATTCCGAAGAGGACAAAGCAAACGGTCCCAACCACGAACCAACCAACAAGCACAAAGGTCAGACAGATCCTAAAGCGACCGCCAAACGTTATGTATTCACACAAACAAAGTGTCACGATTTTAACAAAGCAATTAATGTAAGCTTCGATCTCTGACTTAAATGGCATAGTTACGCGACTAATGTTTTGCAGAATGTGTGTTTATACGTGGTGTTCCTAGTCATTCGATTGCGAATTGGATATCTGTTTAGTACTCGGGACCTTTAACAAATGTTGCATTAAGTTAAGCATTTAGGTTCTGCATTAGTTAGTTATCTAGAGGTAATAACAAACTACAAAGCAGTTTTGCTTCAAACCTTAAGGAAGTGTTTTGAAAGCCAATCCTCAGTAGCCCTAACCAATCTTATTACAATGAACAATTGCAGTCGCATTTCTGCTTTGCTACGTTTAACATAGCTTCGACCCTAGCAATAAATGCTTAAGTCTGTTAATAATTGATTTTTTAAACGTATGTTTTCTATCCCGCCGCTTTAAGACAGGTGAGGTTTGGGTAAGTTTGGTCTATTTCGTGTGCAGTTAGGAATGTTGGCGATATTCCAACGCATCTTAGACTGGATCCGTAACCTTTTTTGGAAAGAAGAAATGGAAATAACACTGGTTGGGCTTCAATACTCAGGGAAAACCACATTCGTCAATGTCATTGCGGTAATTACTGAGGAGTCTTATTCGCATCCAGACAGGGCAGTACTGTGAGGATATGATACCCACGGTAGGATTTAACATGAAGAAGATTACGAAAGGGAGGGTCTCAATCAAGGTAAATTGTTTAATGTGCGAAATTACAGCCTTAGATTTGGGATATTGGGGGTCAACCTCGATTTCGCAGCATGTGGGAGCGTTATTGCCGAGGTGTGAGCGCTGTACTGTGAGTAGTCGGTCCTTAACCCAAAGAACGATTTTTTGGTTTGGCTGTCATCAAAATATGTTTTTTGTCATCGAATTAAAGTAATTGGTCTGTCAAAGGTCGGCGTCCCAGGAAAATTTTGTTCACAATGGGGTTTTCTTATTCCTATGAATCTATTCGCATTTTATAACGTTTATTGTCGTATGGTTTTTAGGTTCATGGTTGATGCAGCTGATCGAGACAAGTTGGAAGCAGCGAGGAATGAACTTCATGCCTTGTTAGAAAAATCACAACTAGCAGGGATTCCCGTTTTGGTACTCGGAAACAAGCGCGATCTACCCGGGGCGCTGACGGAAGTTGAACTTATTGAGACTTTAAGCCTAAGAACGATCCCCAACCGTGAAATTTGCTGTTACTCTATTTCCTGCAAGGAGCAGGACAACATAGGTTCGTGATATTGGCTGCGCGCTTTTTCTCCCCTAATTTTTGATCGCAATATTCTGCCAGCGAGGATCTTGGCTCAACCTTCTGTAGCTAATCTTTATCCAAGCGTTATGTGTTTGTTATAATGCATGTGTTCCACAAGCTTAATCGCGTGTTTTGCAGATGCAGTGCGTCTAGTCTTAATGCAGCTGAAGCGTTCGCTTTGTCCACAGCCAAATGCAACAATAGCTTCTGCGGGGCGCATATAGATCAATGATGTGGCAGCAACTATTGCGACAATTTTCGTGAACACTGGATGAACCAATCGCAGTTTGGCAAAACTCATAATCAATTTTAACACTTGACCGTTAAAGTCTAGCCTTGAAGTGCACGTTTCTATAAGCTTTTATTGTTTTTTTAGTTCTGATCTTTAATGTCGGCGCAAACAATCCTGATAGTGGTGTCACTTTTTTGGTTACAATAACCGCTCGTCGAAATGCTCCAATTAAGATGATGCAGTCTGCTTCTTCGCTTGTGGGCTGAAAATAAATGAAGTGTCAATAGTCTATGCATCAGCTTTTGAGGTATCTTCAAAAGTAGCATCGAATGCGCAAGTTTACAAGCGTTTTTTTGTGGGCATACGGAAGACTTGGTAGCATTGTTGGAATATATGGAACTCATCGACACGATCGCACACAGCAGAAATATATAAACATGTCGTGTAGCACTGTACTGTCTGGATTTTCCCTCTGTTCTGCAGGGACAAACTTCTTTGTTTGTCAACTGTGTAGAAATGCTGTCTATAGTATTTTCTTAGAACATACTGCATTGGCACTGGTGTAGTGGGCTGAATTGTTGGTAATTGTACGTAATAGCAGTGGAGAATCGCGTCCAGCCGTAGATATTCGCGGTTAGAAACTAGAGTTAGACGTTTGACTATCAAACCAAATCGGGTTGCTGTTGTGGTATTATCGCACGCAATGGTAGGTGACATGCGTATCTCTGCTAGTTACTCGTGCTCTCTTGAACCATTGAGCAAATAAATATACTATTGCTCTACCGTACTGCACTGTATGTCGTGGACCATGATGGGTGTCCAAATCCACTTTTTTGGATGTTGATGCCTTTCCTTCAGTGCTAATTGCGGCTGTAATGTCTCTCAGTTCGCGGTTTTGAATCTCCCTCTCCGTATGGTGGATGCAGTCATTTATTAACTTTCAAACGCATACTGCGTATCAAGGGAAACCCGAATATTTAGAATCACTTTGTGGTCCCGGTACAACTGCCCTCTTCAGAGGTCTGTATGGATGAAAAGACGAATCCAATTATCATGAATGCGGCCTTCGGTCTCTGAAACCCTTTCGTTTCGTTTAAGCTATCATCTGGTCTGACTGGGCGTTGTGTCTCCTCTTTCAACTCGACTCAGATCTATTAGCTGTAGACTCGCCGAGGAGGCCCCATTGTTCTCTTACAACCGATCTACTCTCACGATCGTGCAGTTTTGCTAGTCTCTTTCTGCTAAGTGGAATAATGTTGGTTTAGGTCTAGTTCACATTTCATGCGTTTCCCATCAAGCAGACTTGCCTATTTTTTTGTCTTCTCTTTCGTTCTAGACATCACCTTGCAATGGCTTTTGGGGCACTCTAAGTCCTACAGAGGATCGAATTGAGCTGCACTCCATGGACTACCTCTTCCAGCACAAATCGTGGCCTGCGAGTGTATCCATTCCGGTGTAATAGAGGCACTGACAACGGTCCCATGATGACAAACACTGTCGTCTGTTGTGATTTGTTTTGCCTCCACTCTACCCCTTTCCTGTCTCCCACCTTGCCTTCTCGTTGTCTGTACTGTCTTAGCCTGCTATTTTTCTCCTTGCTTTGAGCGAAATACTGGAGCTTTTTGTTTTATCGCCTACTTTTTGGTAGTTCCTTCAACTTCTCTCCTTCATGGCTGCTCTCTGCTTGAAGTCCAGATTTCAATGTTATTTTACTTGTCATCGTCTCCCCTCGATCAATAACTGTTTGGGAAACAGAAAATTTGTTTAGATGATTTTAAATTCTTTGAGGTCCCTTTCCATCGTAATTGGTCATGGACGCGTATTCACGTGACTATTCCCCCATATGGAGTGAGGCAGTGGGGTCGCCGGGGCGATCTTGCATTCCTCTTCCGTCCAGATGAGAGATCATCCAATCCCTATTCGATGGCGAGTTATGTCTTTGTGGAATGAACTTGGTGACGTTCGCTTGCCCGGTCCTTTACAGATGATGAAAAGTGCGCTTTATAGTGAAGCTACCTAGTTTAATCCATGACTAAAGTTGGTTTTTTGGTTCCTAAGCTCATTCCAATTCCAACTACCTACAGCTGATAAGTATGGATATCACTTTCTCAAGTAGTATTGGCACTGATTGAGTTTTGTTCTGCCTTATTTTTAATTATCTGGTGCGGAAGAAGTGTTGATTTGGCTACAACAACCCATCTATTGTGAAGCACCGCAGCTGACTCGCATATCGAACCGTTTAAACAAGTTGCCTTGTTTACTCCAATAGATGTAGTTTAACACCGCCTCCAAACAGGGGCATTGGATCGCATTTAAGGCCGTACTAATGTCTATTAGAGTGGCGCACCACGTGGGCTGATGGCCTGGCAACATGAGCGCTATATCATTTCACCAAGTTGACGTGCGAAACCTTCGAATACTGTGGCACCCACGTAGCTGAATCATTGTTAAAAATAGTTCCAGAACTTTACACAGCTTTATGCCTTAATAATGCGATGTCTCAACACTCGAAATGTTTACGAAACATTGTGACGCGTATGTACCTTGTGACAGTGAATACTTTGTAATCCTTAAGGAGATTGTTTCCATTTTCATATGACTGGCTTTCCTTCTTCATCTAGATGAAGTCCCTTTACTTTTGTAATAGAACAGCTCTAAAGAGTAACTTCTGTCAGATTTTAATTCTCAATACTGTTATTTGCAAACTCACTTTTGTTCATTCTTAGTGAAGGTTTCATTTCGGATTGGACTTCGGTATTTTGATTAGCTGCTGTACCCATTGTATCGAAGACCTAGAACTGTTTAACAAACCTCTGTTCGAAATGGCGCGCGAAATTCGGGGCCACTGGCATCTCTTTTCAAGCGTTCTGACTCATTTTTTCCTTCTGCAGTTTTTGCAAAACAAAATGTTTAACCTTCGGGTAACTAGTCTAATTTCAGATCAGTTCCGTAATTGCCAAGCGATTAATTTCTTGCATTGATACATGATAAATGTTTTGCTGTGCCATTGTTATCCACTGAGGCCAAAGAGAAATCATTTGAATACAAATAAGATCATTTACGAACACAGAAAAAATGAGTTTCCAAAGTCAGCGGCAGTCTGCATCGTGTCTCACAAATGGAGATAAGGGCGAATTGTCACGCATACTGAGGAGGACTGGAGAGTCGTCTGCACTAATCTGTTCTTATTCTTAAAAATTAGAGTTATGTTGGAGTAAGCTGGAAACCGTACTCGAACTAGACATTTTGGCTGTACGATTGTAATTTGAATGTAATTTTGAATGTATGACTAGCTACTTATTTGATCTAAGTAAAAACTTTTGATAGTAACAATAGTACTATTTATCATAGATAACGAATGTTATGAGCCGTATGCCTGCACAGTTTTGTTCAAGTTCATTTATGGAACTAACAGCTCTTTCGACCAAGCTCACGCCTAAAAATTGTAAGCATCGTCAGATTTCCACTTTTCTTGGCACAGTGCGTCAAGAACACGCAGAACTGTCAAGATCCTCGGGGGCCCCCAGTGTTGGGCACGTGGTGTCTCAGCTTTGTTAACTCTAGGCCTAAGACACAAAACTTCAAGGACAATGCTTCGACTCAAATCTACCGATAAATTAAAGTTGCAAGTTAAATGACACAGAATTAACTATGGCGATATCTAAGACACCGTTCCACTACAAAGTTGTGTAAAAGATCTATCATTAACTCTACACAATCCACTTAAGCTTCATTAAAGGTGAAACGAATTGGATAACAGAGTAACACAAATCCATTAGTTACGTCTTGCCTTCAAATGCACTAAAAAATTAGGAATCGACTTGATTTTAAAATGTTTCGGGTTGAGCAAGTCGTTGTCCTGCGGACCAAGTGAACAGACTTCAATATTTTTGACGATAACGTAAGCGATCCAAAAGCTGGGTTCACGTTATTAAGGTGTCAGAAAAAAACGCTATCCGGATGCAGATTTTAAAAATTTCATTTGTTTAAATGCTCCAAAGACGTCGTTCGGCGCTCTACGCATTCAAACATAAGCCCTACTGATCAAAGTCTTCTATAGTACCTATTTCTATCACGATATGGAGAGTCTGCTTCAATATAGGGAGCTAAATGATTTCCTGGAAAACTTCAGTTAAATTTGCATTTATGTCCTTCGGCACTTGATTCTAACGCATTTGTAAATATCTAAATTTGCTACCGCTTCAAGTTGAGTTACAAGTACTTCAAGATGTTTGTTTTCGAACAGGCTATCACATCAGCTGGTGGTACTGATTTCTCAAGTTTCAGCAGTTCTAATCTTCATCAAGTAAATGTCTGCAAACACCAGAACATACCTAGTAGTTTTCAAATTGGCTTGAAAATGACTAAAGGCTTGATGCGTTGCATGGCTTGAATTATTTTTTATTAGTCCTTGGTTATTTACCGGCACGACTTTTGAGCCATAAATAGTTTTATAGTAAAATGAATTTGGACATAACTTTGCTGCAAATCGTTTAATTTATTCATTGCCACTGACGATGTTTGCTTTAGAGGGTCTACATTGACACTTAGTTTCAATAAGCGGGAGACAGGGGCTACGATGCTTTTAATTGAATTTACACTCTTGTCTCTGTGTGTGCAAATGTCGGAATGATCGCTAATGAAATACGGCTCAACTTCTTATTTAGTGCTGACTATTAACTGGTTGGGGTTTTGTTGAAGTTAGAAGAACTCTTTTGTACTTCATGGCTTCTGACACGACGTTAACGGTGTCAATTAGCAGATGGGGAAGCTGCTTACGTTCTACTTTTAATCACCTTTGCACAGCACGGGTGACTACATGAACGAATTGTGCTAAGGTGAATGCCTTTAGGCGTTTTACAATGCTACACACATTTCTCACCATTTCTATCGCCTGACACTGATTGGGCAGATTCGGATTGAGAATTTCTACACAGACCAAAATTAATACACAAATATGAGAATTTTCCTTAAAGATGCATTGTAACACACGTTTATTTAATTGCAAATAGTAGGTATCAGAGACTAGTAAATAAAAACCTCAAGAAGGATTAACGTCCGTCGGCTGCGGAGGGGGGCGAGAGAGGCGGCAAAGATCGATATTGTGACTCAAACAAGCCTAAGCCTGACTTCGATTTTGATAACCTTTAAGGCGTTGTTCCCAAAGCTTGGACAAAAGCAGTTGAAAATTTCGGGTTGATGACACATTCAATACTTCTACAGTCCTGTCTAAATGGTAATGGATGAATTGTATTCGTTTATATTCCTGTTTGCTTACACAGGCGCTAAAGCTCTTGCTTTGTCTCCACCCAGCTATATTGCCTACAGGCTACGCTTATGGTCTCGAAGCTCTTCTTAACGGCAACAACACTTATGCCACCTTGGAAGTATCCCATAGAACATAAGTATTTCGATGGAAACGATAACTCGAGATCACATTATGGGGACTTTAATGAACGGGAACAGTGCAAACTGATTAAGGCGTGCTCAAACTAGTACCGGAATTTTCTTGTATCGGGAGGCACGTTGAACTCGTGATATCATGTTAGTGTGCAACACTGTCGTGCCTGAAGCATGGTTAGACTGAAATGTGCAGAGACTCAGGTCACAGCTCCGACTACATGTAAAGTATCGTGTGATGTCTGTTATGACCTCTGCCTTCACTTTCTCCTGAATTGGTCACGATATATTATGAAATGAAAGTAACACATGCGTAGATAGTTAAATGGATAGAACGCGCCGAATTGGGTAAGGTCAGTTGTGAGGCCTCACATGCTTTGTAAAGACCTAAATCCCACCGTAAACAGATCACTTTAAACTCCACGCTTTCATTTTTTAGACAAATAGTTTATACTGTAAGGCAAAGCTCATCAGATGACATTTGCAATCTGAAGGATTGGTTAGACGATGCTGGAATAAATGACTCTGACATAATTGTGATCTTCCAGAGAGATTCTTGAAAATCGAAGTCAAGTCCTAGTCCCTTCTAAGATTAAACCACCTCAAAAATTTTGATGCACTTAAAGCAACCTGAACTCTCATCGCGAGATTATGCAATAATAAATTAGGTTCTCCTTATTGCCTTGGTAACAAACAGCCACTTTGGTGGATCTGCTGCTTCATTTCACCCAAACTTGAACATATAGATGCTGTGGTCCATAAAGCCTTAAGAGACTAATCGGTTTTAATTTAATAAAGCCAGTCCTTCTTTCTATACCACCTTGATTCAGCTCGTAAGAATGTTAGACAGAGTAAGCATTCCAAGGTACAAAGCCATTTTAAAGCGTAAGACGCCTATACAGTTAATGGCTAGTATAAATAAAAAAGCATCGGGACAACAAGTCTGTTCATATGGTTTGTAATAAAGATTATGAAGAATGTGATGCGGTAGGCTGTTGAAGAGTGTCATCACTTGTACCAGCGGTCTTGTGAGTGCCACTTCCATCGTGAACTGTCCCAAAGCCAATTACAGCCTGCTTAATAAGAGCTCTAACCTGAATAATCTGTCGTTTAGCCATGAGATCACGTTTTTCTGTACGCCTCTTAGCGGTTGCACTCCTATGAATTCGTCGCATCCAGGCAAGTTGATCGGCATGACCGTAGAAAAGGAGGAAGTCATTGACGAGAACAGGAATGGTGTAGGAGGTAAGCAAGATGCCAATGATCATGCAGAGCACGGCTATTAGTCGGCCTGGTATGGAGGAAGGAATCACATCACCATACCCCACTGTGGTCATTGTTGTGAAAGCCCACCAAATTCCAGTGAAGATGGAATTAATTTGCAAGTCAAAGAAGAATATTGATGTGCCGAAGAAGATGGCACACAAAAGTATTAACTCGAACACCATGACAATGTTCGTTGCAGCTGTTCGAATGGTGTAGATCAGTACACGAGCTGCTCGCTGCCTCTGCAACAGCCGAAAGATTCGAATGATAACGAAGACCTTGAACATGTTGAAGATGTCAATTATGAAGAAGAGCGTATTTACAGTATTGTCGGTTGACTCAGAGGAGCTGAGCCTACTGACATAGACTAACACTATACTTTCAACATAAAAAGGAAGGAGTGAGACAATGTCGGTGATTGTGTAGAAAGAGCGTAACCAGCGGAGGAAATTTGGACAGAATATGGCACGTGCGATGAGGTCGACGGTAAAAAGAACAACACAGATCCATGTGAGTACTCGGAGAGGCAAAATTGGTCGTGTGGCTTGACGGGTCTCGTTGTCGAATTCACTATAGGATCTGTGAACGGGGAATGTTTGCGATCTACTAATATTGGTATTGGCTGCTGAGATGTTCAAGACTGGACCAAAGGGCTCCCGCAACTCAGGAACATAGGCTATAGTCATATAGTTAATAAGGGACGCTACTATCAGAAATTGCACTGCTACATACACCCTGCTAAAGATAATCTCTCTGGGAGTTTTTTGCAGGGTTCGCCAATTAAATGGATTGTTGATCAAGTGACTGCCACTTCCTTGACTGTTATCACGACCGTCATCACCACTACCGCCTCCAGTGTCGTTTGCACAGTCACTGTCTTGACCCCCGTTTTTCAGTTTTCTAGTGTGATCGGTATCATTGTTGCTAAAGTTATTTGGCCCAGAATGACCCATTTCAGTGTCGATGCTCGTGATACTATCCCTAGCTGCAGCATTGTTTTTCAGAAGCAGTCCCAACCAGCGCTTCTTTGGTGTATCAGTGATGATTCGCCACACGTATTGCCGAAGTTTCTGCCATCGGATACCTAAGCTAAAAGCAGGGACAATAACGATTATCTTAAGTAGATTGCATGTTGATGACCGCCGATACCATCGACTCGCATAAAGTGAGGTGAAATGACAGCAAAATCCTTGCTTAATCTAATATTCATAGTCTCCTCTTGGAACAGAACTTAGTAATCCCCTGAACCCTTTCTGCGCCAACTAAAAACAGCTTCATTTGCCTTGAGTTTAGTGACATTTATTAATTTTAATTAATGGGTTTTGAGAGGAGACACATTAAAAGTGTAGAACAAGAAGGCAACCTCCCTCTTGTGCCCTTGAACGTGGAATAACTTCTACAGGTTGTTAACTTAATATCAACTATATGTGCAACTCCTTTTGAGTGAGTGACTGAGGAATTGGATCGAATACTGGCGCCTTTAGCCTTTCAGAAAGCAGTTTGATTCGTTCCTAACATGTACTTTTGAATAGAGAACCTTTGAGTAATATGTAATCATAGATGTCATTGTGAAGTCCCATCATCTAGCCCGATTTGATGTTGTCATCACCTCATCCCATAATAAGCAGTGGTACTTTACTTCTCATCAAAAGGTAAAAAAAGCGTCCAAACGTTTGATCTTACCGTGGACTAACCTCCTTATCCAAGGGAAATTCCGAGAAGGTCTCCTCGAATTTTCGCAAAGACTCCATCTTTGATTTGGTTTCCATGACGGGGCCAAGACAGCATCTCTGCAAATCGAAACCCAACTGTAATCCCCAAGCTTCTAGTTCCTTCTCCAATAATGGTCCACAGATGTTTAGTGGCAAATGAGTTTCTTGGTGGCGAAGATAATCGTGGACAAAGCGAAATACCACTGGATCCCTCTCAAAATAGTATTCACCCGTCTCAGGGATGTATTCCGCATCTTCTATAATTTTCTCAAACACTATTTGATCGCTTTGCAGAGTACTTATTTTAACAATGAAGACCGTTCCACTAATGTTGAGTTTGAGCAGAGGTCCTGGATATTTCTCCTCGTAGCCATATTGCTTCAGGGAAACGAAGCCAGAAAGTGAACCGACTGAAGATGGATAATCTGCTGCCTTCCTTTGAAGTGGATCAGAGTTTGGCTCATCCAGTTTGGTAGTATGAGGGAGACCAAATGGATCCTCAATTGGAGCATTGGGGATAGAGACAGAGCAGCAGATAAATTTGTTTGGCTGCGGGTTGGTGGGCATATCCGTAGCAAGACGTTTTCCAGGCAGAGGTTGTGTTTCTATAGGCGTCCAACTTCTTGCTTTACCCTCTCTGGCCCTGCTCAACAAAAACCGGTTATGCTTGTCATCGGTTTGTATAAATTGTTCTTGTGGAGTACTTTTTGAGTTTGTGACGCTAGCTATTGTTGAGATGATGGATTTTGATGTGTTTATGCTCAGACTTTTAGTTGAGATGTTGGAGGATTTGAATTGGTTGCCAATTGAGGGATCCATTCATATCTAGTGCGTGCAGAACTTTTGATGTCCGGGCAGAGTTTGATAGAGGTCACCTTATCTTCAACTCTGCAATTTTACCAACTGTCAGACGCATCTGAGCACACAGCACCCCTAATACCAATCAAAATTGATATAAATAATCCAATCAGCTGCTGATACATTGGTGCATCATAGCACATGTTTGTGATATGACAAATCCACAAGAATGGATGGCTCTTCGAACACCTCATTAAATGCACTTCGCTGACCTCCCATTTTAGTTGCCTGTCCGATAATCTCAAAAAAATACAACCATTTCTGACGCTCTTAGGCTCTTAATAGCGAAATGGCAAAGATCCAATGCGGTTACTTGAGCTATATTTTCACCTTGACCTCAGCCTGAGCATTATGCGTGGTTAGAAAAGTCTACCAGCGTGCATTTTCTCAAAGGTGAGTTCACCGCCCATATCCGGAAGAATATACCTCTCGCTGTTGGTAGCTCTCCAACTTGCTTAAGAATACTGGCTTTATGCATGTAAAAGAATGGATCTAATTTGACATTTTTACAGCTCTTGAAAACCAAGGAGTGGGGATTATAATGTAATGACACAATGAATCATAGAGATCCACCTACTACGGTTGTAGGTGCTACACCTGCCTTAAGGCGTCTTATTTCCACCTATGACTTCTCAATTCAGCTGCCTAGTTTTGGTGAGTCTTCTCCCTTCATCAAACATTTTATGTAGCCATTAACCCACGTAATTTTAGTTAAATATAATTATTTTATTTTCTCGAAAATAAGGGCCTGTGTGAAAATGCCTGATTAAATAGGTGATCTACACTGCATTCGAGGTGCCAATTCTTTCGAAGAAAGTCAAAAAGGCTAAATGGCAGTATGCAAATCTGAGGATGAGTTAATCAGATGCTAAACTACTGGAATTTGTATAAACAACTTGTGTACGTAAAGTCCGACCAAGTCGCAATTCTAATTACGGGTCCGCTGATGGGTGACTGTGAAGCACTTGCGTCCACGGCTGAACTGTACTTGTAACCAGGATGTCAGCATAAAAAAGCACCCTTTGTAAGTCAAATTTCAACTAAAAACAACATGAAGAACACCAAAAAGGCGAAATGTTAGCTTAGTGAGGAAAAGTTGCCACTTAATGTCAAAGACATTGTAGGATTCCTCTAATTAGAGGCAATGTTAAGACTGAAACAAACGTTGACATACATGACCTATTCTTCATGATTGTCAATTCAGTTTAGTTTAAAATGTAACCATTATAGAAAAATATGGAATTTTGCTGCCAGAGAAAGCAGATTTGCAGCTTTCAGGCGTCATGAATTTAGTTGCTTGTCAAAAATGCGTCTTCAAAACCTAAAATTCTTTCAAAAGGATGCCTTTTTGAGCTTACTGGGTAAATTCGTTTTTTGCTTTAGCACAATTTCAAACGCCGATAAAGGTTTACTGTCGACATGAACTAGCATGGTAAACAGTTTGGCAATCATTGCCTTGTGACCTCCCCAGATCTACGCCTTTTATGGCAAATCAGTAGAAAGCTAAAATTTATAAACACGAGCATTGATTTTGGATGAAAAGCCCACCTATTTTACACTCTCATTCGAAAAAACCTATGGATTAAGGGAACCTGTGTCAAAATGATGACAAAACAGGAACCTGAATTGAGAGTAAGTGGTAGGACACAAAGCTACACCTTTCGTGCCCTCAGAGAAAATCCCTAAGGAGTGAGCAAGTGAAACTCATATCTAATTCCATTCAAACAGTGTGTCATTGAGCTCACTATGGGATGTGAAAGGAGTCACTGTTGCAGTAAATGATGAATTTTGCGCTCACTTTCACGATAATCATTGTGCAATAGGGGTGAATGATTATGGTACTTACAAGCCCCCTTGCGCTGTTCTTTGAAATCTTCGCCAAGAAAAAGGAGAGCAATATAATCTACCCTTACTTAGAGCCCAGAGTCTGCATTGAAGTTCAAAGGCGACATAACATCTGGATGGGAGGAAACTTACATAACCCAAAGGCAAAGAATAAATTACTGGAATTTTTGGTGTACCGGATAAATAAATGTGTAGTGTTAACCAAGCATGTTTTAACTGATGATGGGATACAGTACTCAAGAAGTTTGCTTAACTCTCGATTCTGGTAATGTTTTAATTAGGGCTTCTCTATTGTTCCACCAGTGAGCAGTCTGGCCTTCTAACCAATTCAATAGTGTTCCAGATCTTACGCTACGTCGACAGTACATATTCTGGTCGAATATTCGTATTCGGAGAAATGGTGGAGCCGTAAAACAGCAATTGCCTCTGATCCAAGACAAAATTTTTAACTTATTACTTAAAATAAAGTGGTCTGACATAGTCACGGAATCCGCATTTACTGAAGACTACTTTGGAATAATCGAAAAAGAAATTGAGAGTCGCTGAGGGAATAATTCTCTGCTTTTAGATAAGTTCCGTAGGTATACTTAAAACGTTGTATTTAAGTGCGCCTTAAATTGAAGTCCACCTTAAGCAGTCACCTCAGTTAGGTATTCCGTAGAAATGTTGTAAATAACCAAGGCAAGCAATCAAAACCATGGAGTTGCCATTGGTGTCGTTATGAAGATGTCAATGAAGTAGACAGGTTATACCTTCTCTTTAGTTCCCTTACTCATTGGTTAATCTCGGAGCTATAGGCTGATAACATGGGTGTTAGAAGTGGCCCTATTACTTACAAAATTAAGTCATCTCATTTTCGTGTTAATTGCCTCTGTTTGAAGGGTAGCATTCAAGCAAACAATCTCGACCGACGAAATATCTTGCACAGTTCCTTTTCTTAATCCAGTTTTAAACTGGATTCAATGAAAATAGCAGGAAAGGAAAATGATGCTAGCAAATTCTATACTCGAAGCGCATTTATTGCGTGTGATTTTGCTACAACGATGGCCTTATAGAGGCGGAGGAACACCTTGACACTTTATTCAGCTACATTTATCTACACTAGCAAAGATAAAGGTACCGACTCTGGGTCATGATAGCATCCTTTTGGTCCATTTCTATACATACAATACAATTTCAGCCCTTGAATTTGAACTTTCCCAATCCTTTGGTAGTGTACGGGGCCTCACTTTTAACCAACATCTTTGATCGCCCGTTAATGCCACTTTCGAACGTAACCAAAAGTTGTACGTTGTGGTTGGTAGTAGTAGTTAGCAGCTAGTAATGGTGAGTAGCAACTAAAAGTAAAATTTTGTAGGCACTGCCCTTTGTGTCGTCAAGTGATTATTGAAACGACACTGTTCCTAGGTCGAAGTTGTGCCCTGTTTCCAGTGTCAACCCTTATGGTGCCCTCAAACTTAGGAGAAAATCGCGTTCGTACCAAAGATACCTTTTTAAGTAAGTCATTTTTCATAGTTACGTTCTTATTAGGACGAGAAGTTAATAGCATCGATCATTTCTTTATTCATCTTCCTTCAGGAATTTTAGATAGCGAGCAAACTTGCACATTAGCATTTTCCTTCTTAGTAGAACGTTCAGTTCCTTTTTAAGCGGAACAATAAAAGTTGATCTAAGCGGCAAATAACAAATATTTGTACATGCAATGCTTCTCTCATTTTATATTTATTGTGTACCTGTTTCGCCATATTTTAAATTTGACATCAAGACGAGCCACAAGTAGTTTTATTAGACGACTTTTTGCTGAATCGGGTCCTTTGAAGCGAGTGGTCATGTGCCGTGCCTTGTAGCGCTACCAGCAGCGGAGACTTGCAATGCTATTTCTTACATGAGGTCAAACCAGTTTATTCCAATGATGCTGAGAACTGGAGCAATCAGCGTGACGACAATCAAGTGCAGAAAAGATCGAACCAGATCTTGGATCATATTAAGAAAAATCTGATTGCGTCACTCAATATACCACTAAATTCTGCTTTATTTAAGTAGGTGTGTTAATAACAAGTACAACCCAAAGCCCTACCAAACCAAATATGAGCACAGTCAAGACATTAATAAACTAAAGTCATGGTGATTTTCGATCCTGGAATGCCAAAATGGACATTTATTTGTAAATTAAGAACAATCCGCCCTTTTAAAGATTTAGAGCAAAAAAAAGTTTTAGCGAAAGGCGCATTTGCCACTGACTTTGAAGTTTAATTGGTGACAGTCTCTAACTTATGTCGGTAGGTTCCCTACTCTAGTCCTCCCATACGTCAGTAAGATATATTTTTAGTGTTAGATCTTGTTCTGCTTTCAGGAAAGGTATGTGCCGAGGAAACACTAAATGTTTTACGAACGACAGCTGCCGTTGATTTCATTCTCAAATTCCAAACCTTACCACAGTAGAAGGATGGTGGATTTTCAAGACGTTTATGAGGGTAGGAATTCATAGCAATACTGGTCGGGATAATAAGTCACCCAGAGTACTCCTACATTAACTATCAACTTTACCTGCACAAAAATATAAATGCAATGATTAGCATAAATCTATCCATCGATTCCCTATTCGATGAGAAGAACCGAAAATAATCGTGGTTGGACAGCAATGAGGCTAAAAAGAGGTTCAAAACTATTTGAAACCCCTCTCATGGTAATGACTCTTATGTTAAAGGTCTAGAGATGGACGTTCGCAATGGTCTGCCAAACTATCCTCCCTAAAGTAGAATTTTCATAGTGAAACTCTTTGTCCACTGGATTTGCAAAGAGGGAGTGGCAATGCTGAAGTTGGATGCATTCTCATTTGTATGCAAAATTAATGGCTGGTGCGATTGGTTTGTGGGTGTTTTTCTCACACAGCTGACAACTTTGCGATGACTGGTGTGGGTGTTGATCAAGTTGTGTTAAAGACAGATATAGTGCTCCATGATTTGCTCCTTGTTTTCCCACTGGGTGTACTTAGAGGTCCAGTAATACATTTTCTTCCTTGCTTTTTGACGTCGTTCGTCTCTGGCAAAGAACTGGCGTCGTACATCAGCACAAACTTTAGAAACTGTGCACATTTATTTTTTTAATAGTTTACA